TAAAGCAATTCCAACTGCTCCTATCGTATGTTTGACAGAAGTGCAAGGGTCCTGGGTGTGACAAATGCGTGACGGAATTGGCGCGGATTCCCAGAAAGTCGACCCCACTGGGAGGTCACACCGCCGAACGCGTTCGCGAACTGCAAATGCGAACGTGAGAACCACACCACGGTGCACGTGGGCGCGTGTCGATTCTGTGGCTCTGTCCACCGGCTACAGACGCGTACCCCTTCTGCTTATGATAAAATCTGCATAGCCTGATGGTTTTAACTTGTAAGTTTATTGTATCAGTCTGTGTGATTGAAATTGCTGGGTTATTGTAAAAAAAATGTGGTGAGTAATCGAAGCTGTCTGTCCAATTGGGGTCACACGAACCCATTGAAGCCCCTTCCGTGCCCTCCCCCTAACAGTTTCCATGGTCAATACTACTGGCATTGCATTGAAAATGTGATGGACAACTTGAAATTCATGGAAACTACTCTATTCACGTCATCAATATCCCTGGTATGGTACAATAATATGTGCATAACAAACTGTATTTTATGGATTGAAAGCATAGCCGCCATTGCCTTTCTCGCTCAATAACAGTTGCGGTGTGGCGATTCCCCAGGCTCAGGTGGCGTGGCATCCCCTCACGTGCCCAGACATTCGCCGAACACGTTCGCGAACGCGTTCGGCGGGCGAACCTCCCAGTCGCCTGGACGTTCTCCGGATTCCTTACTGTGACTCGCGTGTGACGCTTTGACAGAACTACCTGCGACTGTGGGTCCGTCACCGGCATCTCTCTCTATTATCTTTTGCCCAGTCAATTGAGGTGGTTATTTGCGCAGATAGTACTTAGGAGGGTTTATTATGATGCCTGACCGAAAGTAAAATGATTGTCCAAGGAGCGGGCCTGTGGCAGGCTGTTTTCCAAGATCTTGACAGAACCCCCAAAATGATAGTACAGCACACTGCCCGCACCCGGAACCCTGCATTACAGCCGTTTGCAGAATCGCCTATAGTCGGAGTGGGTCGGAGTGGGTCGGAGTGGGTGCCAGGGACGTCGGAAGAAGGTGGGGAAGTCCAATTGGTCTGGTTTCCGTCTCTGGGGGACTTACAATTGCTTGTCCGACGTGGTCCGACTGTAAATGATTTTTGAAAAGTGGGCCCATCAATCTGCAAACGGCTGTACTTCTCTTTCTTGCGCCCAAGGAGGAGTGGTGACAATTTCAGCTACTTCTGTCACAAGACGCTGCCGCGGTCGGTTGCATTACCATTACATTCTATGAAGATCAGCACTATCGGTGACGAAGTAGTCTAGTCAACGTCCGTGATGGTCTTCGATCCGTTTTCGCTGATACTATGACCGTATTTCAACGTGCAGATGATTTATTGCCGTACTACACCCTAGCGTCTACGTCCAGGCCACATGCAGCAATATTCCCGAGGCCATCCCCATGGTTCAGACCCAGCACCTCTGTATCAGCAAATACCAGGTCGACATAAGAAAGACTTATTCCTGGATACGCAAATCGGGAGCGCCAACGCAGATATTTGGATATTTGACAGCGCATTCAGCAAGAGGTGAACGATCATGACTGCCAGTGCCTCGTCGAACATGGGGCGGTCAATATCGCCAAATACGACTGCCTCTGAACTTTCTTGCTGATCAACAGATGGAAAGCACGGATCGTCAATGCTTCGTTCCAGCTGATTGTGCAATATCGCGAGTGTTAGGGCCCTGCCGAGGACGTATGATTTCGCTCATCACCCCCACGGATGTAGGACCGATATCGTACTCCCCAGAGCTCGCATCCCGAACCCACGGTAGGGTCTTCTCCGACGCGAGCAATACCAGGCATTGCTATATCGAGTCAGGCGCCTCTTCCTGGGAACTGTGAAAAATTGGACAGGACGAGGTGGTGGCATTGGCCAATGTAGGGGCAATCAAAAATGGTATGTCGGCGACGGAGGGACGACAAACCAGCACTGATCAGGGACGGTTCAGTCAAACAGGGGAGAGCATCTGGATGTATCACCTGGCGGCTAGCGCTTGTTCGTGGGTCCCATCGGCATTATTTATGTATCCGCAGCGGACATAAGTCTCGATATTGTTGATACAGACCTTAGGATTCATTGCATACCTGGCAGATTCCCCTAGAGGCTCCTCTCTTTCCGTTTCCATATGGAACCAGCGTCTATCAAGATGTGTTATTCACAAATCCAACACGCAATGTCCATGTCGATCTTCTTCGAAACCATCGATTGTACCTTCCCGCTACTATGAGAGAGCTCAGCTTGCCGAGTATCCGCCTCATCCGGAGGATGCATCCAGCCGCCTCTTTAGCGAGCCATCTCCTCGTGGGCTTCTGGTATAGTTCTGAATCAGATAGGCGCCTCTGACGACCCTGAACTATTTCTCATCCGTCTTGTCTGACCTCCGAGCTTTCCCCCGTCCATGATCACTTGGAAGATTGACGGACCCGCTCATGCTGTATTTATCACGCAGTTCTTATGAGGTTGCGTCTTTCCGAAAGCGCCCCCATGGGTGCTGAGCTTCAGCCTTCCTGGCTCATTGCACGGTGTCCCTTCCCTAGCTTCAGCTGGCCATGTATCCGCTTTCTCGGTGGCCACCACCTGTCACGATACTCACGATATTCAGCCCCTTAATGGATCTGGAAAGGATGAATATTTGTCTTGGAGTCGCTGCAAGCCTTTGGATCATCCTTACTGCGCCACTCTGCGGGGCGGTGACCATCACATTCAGTCCGCCTACGGAATGCGATGTCATGAACATCTCCTGGACAGGTGAGTCACATATTTATCGTACAGATCGCAATCCCACTCATTCCTGAGTCTACCAGGCGGACAACCGCCGTTTGAATTCAATTTCATAACGGTAGGGATTTTCACGGATGTGTCATCACCGGCCCCACATCGAGTGCATACAGGTCTATGGGACTCAATCACCTCAGCAAGTACCATCGTCGGCATTCATAAGTAACCAAGGCTTCTACCAAACCCGTATTCAGTACCCTTCCGGGACACTTTTTTCTTTTATAACGCAGGACGCCGCAGGTTTCCCAGATGGTGGGACCTCGGATGTACTTACCGTCGGACCAAGTGATTCTACTTGTGATTTGACTACGAATTCACCCGATTTCTATTTCTCGACGGATAATTATATTCAGCAATGCCAGTACGTTGGGTGTTATTCTTCTGGATCTGCACAGCACGCTAATTTGAGGCTGGTCTCAGACCTTTCTACTTTTCCGACTACAACAATGGCAGCACTCCACCCATAACGATATTGGTGAGGTCGTAAACATCGGATTGACTCCCACGCATGTTGCGCTCTGACGCAGCTGGAGTAGGGTATTGTCCCCGGGGATGAAGTATTCACGCTCTACCCGCCATCAGGATCGACAGACTTCGAATGGACAGTCAGTCTTCCGAGTTTAACCACAGTTCTCTTCACGATGGTGGACGCTGCTGGCAACAGGGGTAGGGTTACCCAGCTCATGACCGTCGATCAGACGGACGACGCCTCTTGTCTTAGCTGGCCCTCTACCGTCCCGCATACGACCACTACTAGGAACGGGGCTCACCCCCCGTCCGGATCGCCATCCGTTACAAGGCCGGGACCCAACCGTTCGTCTTCCTCTTCTCGCTCGTCTACGACTTCCTCCCCTTCCTCGTCCTTGTCCACGAAGCCCACGTCTCTCTCGAGTGGGCAGATAGCTGGGATAGCTATTGGCAGCAGCATTGCAGCATCACTTCTGATTGTCTGCACGGTTGCTTTCGTCGCTTGGCAAGCATACCGATGCGGAAGAGAAGCACCAGGTAATAATGTCGTGGTCGTACAGAACAAAGAGGACGGCAAATCGAAGCCCCCTCCGAAACAGGACGAAGAAGCAGTCATCACAATGCCCGTGCTACCGCCGAAGGACAACCCTCCGAGAAATGCGAATCTGGTTTATATTCCAAACAAGGGCGCGATGGGTGTCCGACCCCCCTCAGTTCGCTCGTTGAAACACCCCGTACCGAAGCCACCCACGCCGATGTCCAACCCTGCGCCGATGCCCCATACGCTGCCTCCTCCCAAAGCGGTGAATGTTGCCCATAAACGCCGGCGCGTCCGTGAGGGGATTGTCAGACAACATGTGGACCACAACAGGTACATGCACACTCGTCCTGCCGGACCAGCACCCTATCCGCCGAGGATGCCGAACGGGGGACATCCCCATGGCCCATTGGGTCTGGAGATTCCCCCTCCCGGAGAGGAGGCAGCAAACGTGAGAGGTAGAGGCGTATCGGCTTCAATGGACGAGAGATATCCGTACCCCGCCCCGGTTCCGGGCCCTGGGGTCATGAGGAACGAGAGATATCAGCGTGCAGGTCAAGTTCCTGACGGGCCACCACCCTTGGTACCACGCGCCCCCGCAGGATCACAGGGGTTTGAGCGTCCGCCTCCCAACCGCCAGCGGATGGCGGGTGGTGCAGCTAGGGTCGACCCGAGGCATCTACGCCCCAATCCTTTTCCACCGAGGTAAGTCAGTTGTGAATGTCATCTTGAGCCAAATGCCTTATTTATGCCGTCGTGTGCTTTAGCAACGGCTTCGGACCTGGTAGGTAGTGGGTGCTTTAAGAAGGATCGAGGCCAGACAGTTGATTGGTGCGTTTGGTTACTTCGTGGCACAACATGTCTTTGAGTGGAAAAGCACTCTATTCGCTCTTTATTTTGACCCAAGATTTCGGGACAGCCTGTATATGTATCAATGCCAGTGTTGCTCCCAATGCCACAAAAGACAATGACTTGCTGTTCCATCGTAGGGTGGGTTGGCTAAGGCATCGGAGAGAAATAAGCTTTGGCCAATGTTTTGCTCAGACAAAGTTCGCTTCACAGTGGTTAGGTGATACCGCGAACACTCTGCAAATGCCATTGGAACAAAAACAACTACATCCCATGATTCATGATTGCAGTACAAGTCCGTAATGCTGCGAAGTCCATGCAAGTCCGTTCATGAAGTCCATGTCGTGTCGTGGCAGAACACCAAGTCTAGGAGATAATCATCAGCCTGCGACACGATATCCGGAGACCGAAGTAGTCTTACCATCCTGCAGACGGGTCTTTACAGACCACACTGCGACGCATCAACCTGCGTCGCCTGGGCGTCCACGCGCCCATACTGCTGGGCATTCCCGTCCGTCAGATCGTTCATGGCCGCCTCGGACAGGTTGAACCCATCATCGGTATGGTCGACCGCGAGCACCGTGATCGTCTTGCCGTTGTACGTCAACTCCCAGCAACTCCCGCAGCTGGGTGAGTTCCAGGCGCCGACGGCGGACGCGCCCCCGATGTAGGGGTAGTCGGGGAGCGAGCCAAAGGTGGTGAAACCCTTGGTCTGCAGGCCGTTGGGCCCGTCCGAGCAGGCGGTCGTAGCGAGGGACTGTCCGCTATTGTCGTATGCGGAGTCCCAGGAGACGGTGACCGCGCCTACGGAGGAGACAAGGGCGGCGGTGAGAGTGACGACGGCGCTAGTGAACTTCATGACGATTCGTGCGAGAAGGGATTCGTTAGCGGACTTAGGAGGTGTTGTGTGGAACTGGATGTTGTATGACGCTGGAGAACTGAAACAGAGGAAGCCACTACTTATATAAAGCATTCATACCGGATCCTGTTGCCCGCCAAGAGAATTGGGGAAACGGACAGAAAGCAGAGGAACTGGATCGTCGTCCGGCAATACTGTTGCAGCCTCGCATGCAGGCGAGAAGCGACCGACCGACGCACGGGGAAGACGTAAATGGACATACCGTAGCTGGAGAACAGCAAACCTGTGTAGATGCGCTGAGGGCGAAGACCCGAGCGTCTCGGACGGGTAGCGAGGACCGGGGGTGACGTCAAATGGGAATCCCATGGCCGCCTTCTGCTGGTTCATCCATATGGGCCTGTCTTCTGTAGTATCCGGGAAGCAAGGGAACCAGCGTAGTCAGAAGTATCGTACGATGTTCAGCTGTCTGGAGCTTCTTCAGAGCTGATGTATGAGGAATGAACTCGATCATGAGGTCGGCCGTCGTAACAATGAAGTGAAAAGAGACGTAATTATCGGAAAGTACCTCGGCGATGACAACATTGCCAGCGGACGGTACAGCGCATGCCAACGCACACGTATAGATCAAGTCCAGCGGGTCGCCTTCAACGCCAAAGGCAGTGGATCCGAGGACAGCCTACATGCGCTACCTCCATGAGGATGTGCGACGAATTCGGAGAGTCACTTCTTGCAAACAGAAAGACTTCTGGCCGTACACAAGCCCTGTGACCAGTCTCCCGCACGTCGTTATATACAATCCGCCCAGACGATGTATATTGCCAGGATAGAGCGTTAGCTTCGTGCTGGCGATTCAGAGGAAACGAGGAAGCGACTCGGACGAGACACAGTCGACGACCGTGTGAATGCCCGGGGGCGCAGCGAAAGAGGCGAGCCGCGACATGTCTGTACGTATTATACTCGACTGAGACTCTGGGGACTCTGGGAGACACATCCGAGGCCTAAGGACGTCTAGGTCACACCGACCGCATGTTTCGCGAGTGCTCAGTAGTCTACTGGGCATCGCTCGGCAGTTTTAAGGACTGACGGTGTGGCAGGAATATTGTGGCGTCGCGAGATCTACTGGCACAAGGAGCGGAAAACTTGGGAGGCATTCGGCGCTGCGCGGCACGCCAGGTCCGATTCCTCACATATAAAAGTCTATGGTAAACCCACGGCAGGGACTCTACAAGCAGGGAAATAATCTGTCTTGCTCCCCGGGCGCTGCGCGGCATCAACAATGCTCATAGTTATTTCATCTTGACCTGACAGCCGCTTGCAGATCGATAGACCATCAATTCAGAAAACCAGGTATAGTCGGAGTGGGTCGGAGTGGGTGCCAGGGACGTCGGAAGAAGGTAGAGAAGTCCAGATGGTCTGATTTCTGTCTCTCGGGGACTTGAAATTGCTTGTCCGACGTGGTCCGACTGTAAATGATTTTCAAAAAGTAGGCCCATCGATCTGCAAATGGCTGGAATGATACTGAATGATA